CTACTACTACTACTACTAAACCATATCACAGATAAAAACCCTGTAAAAGCAGGTAGAAAATAAAGGAGATACTGATGAGCACCTAGTTTAAAACATAGTTCCTAGAAAGGTGGCCTTGCTTTACTTCTCACTGTGTTCAGCTCATGTTTTATGAAAGGCAAAGGCAGGGCTGTGGGAGATGAGCAATGTGAGTCCTGCTCACGGTAATTGATGTCAACAGGCCCTAACTTTGGAACTGAATGGAAACTTTTTGTCAGTTGAACTTGATACAGGAGTCCAAGTAAATGAAATATGTTTGTTTGCAACCCTTTCTAGCGTTGTAAGAGCGTCTCACATGCTATGTGAAGAAACCTCAATTTAGATTGCTGCTTTGCTCTAAAAACATGTGAAAAGAATTTTTCTTGTAACTTTAATAGTATTCCTTAGTACACCTGCAAACATATGTAATAACCATGACACAATAAGCCAAAAAACTTATTTTGAAATAGGTGAACTCTTCTTTCTTTTGTCTACTATGAATATTGCATGCTAGCAGCAAAATAATTACTCCCTCAACAAGCAAAAGCATCAAATATTTCTCTTTGATTGCAATGCTGTGTTATTCCCAGGAGGCAGGAAAAGACACAGTACAGAAATAAATGTGTTCAACAGATCAATGTTTATAGGAACACTTTTTAAAAACATAAATATATTATGAAGTATTCTGCAGAGAAAAACACAACTTACAGTAAAGTCATCAAACCCAAGAAATTTATCTGAATGGTGTTTGGAGGAAAAAACCAAACCCAGTGAAAATGCAGAGAGATTTAAACAGCAGGGCACGTACCTGAAAATACATCCACTAAATAAAGAGGGTCCTTGACTCTTCTAAGTCCACATATCAAAAGAAACAGGCGTAAATTTTCTGTGTCTTGAGGGATCCCTGTAACACAATATTTTCAAAAATACCGAATGCAGTTAGAACAGTAAAATATCTTCACAACAATTGCTTCATGAGTTAGCATGCAGCTTGTGCACTAATCCTAGGAATACAAATAGGGTGACATATTTCAAAAGCACCCAGCATTGAACTAACTACTCCCATTGAAGTAAATGGGAGTTAATTTCAGTGGGAGCAGGTAGGTCAACACTGAGAGCTTTTGAAAACCCTACCCCTAATGCTAAGAACTGTCTATCTCTATGCATTTCCTCAGCATCGAGCGCCTAATCCAAAGCCCATTGCAGTCACTTTCCAGCATGTTGATGAAATATTACTCTTTTTAGGAATGGAAAAACTGACGCAGAGGTTAAATTTCTTGCTTAAAGGGAATCTGTGCCAGAGCTGGGATTAGTATCCAGAGTTTCTGGCTCCTAGTCCAGTACTCAGTCAACTGGACTGCATATTTTATTAATGCAATGATAAATTCTAAATGATAAAGCCAAGCAAATGCCCACAATAATGCAAATTATGTATAACTCATTGGGTGCAAGGTTGCGTTGTTGTATTTGTTGTTCTTAGCCTGCAGGGAATGAAAAAAATATAACTTTGCTGTTATGTGATGTAATGCTCTAAACCTCCGATACTGCAAGTCTACATTTATCTATAGTTGCCCAAAATCTCTTAGCCAAAGCAGACTCCACTTCTTTCCATGTGGTATTGAGTATAACAGAGAACTCCAATTAGTTACTTTTACAGTCATACCCATTCAGCACGGCAGTCTTACATTAAGAGTCTATAGATTACAAGGAATAAATATTTATACTGTTTATATCTAGAATTAGTTTCAGTGGAGCAACAGGAAATATTTTACAGTCTAGAATATTAAGGTCTGCTCTACCTTTATGTTAGGTCGACATCACTACCTCAGTCAAGGGTGTGAAAAATCCATACCCCTGACCTAACTTAAACCCCACTGTCGATACATTTATGTTAACAGAAGAATACTTCTGTTGCTGTAGCCACTCTCATTTGGGGAGCTGGTGTTCCTCCATCTACACTATGGGTTTATCCAGGCAATGTAGTGTGCTGGTATAATCTCCATAGTGTACGCATACCCTAAGTGATGTAGCAGTTAAATACCAACCTATGCCATCAAGACAACTTTAGTTCACTGATGAAAAATTTAGCATGTTGGTCTCATTTAAAATGACACTTATGGAAATGAATAATTCATCTGTCCCTAGAAAGGAAGATCTAGTCAGTTAGGGTTGATATTACCAGGGGGATAGAATGGAGAACTTGATAGTGTATAATCATATGAACTATATTCAAAACCCATTCTGGTAGACAGGCAGTAATGCCTAGTGCATAGCGAAAGTAACTGGTAACCAAAGGTTCTATGCCAATCCTATAAGAGTGGAGGCAAATTATACAAATTCTCTGTGCCTCAGTTTCCCCAATCAGTAACATAGAGATCATATGTATTTAGGCAAGAAAATGGCCCCATTTCAAGAGGGTTGTGAGATGTGAAGCTCTTCATGTTTGTAAAGAGATGTGAGTTCTTCATACGAAAGGAATTTCATAATAAGAGCAAAAATCTTACTATTGCTTCAGTTTCCAAAGCAGTATCTATCCTTTAAACACCCAAACTGTCACAGAATATTTAACCAGAATTTAAATGACTGCAAAGCACTTACTTTAATCTTAAATTTTCTTTGTAACACACTGACAAGAAAACCTTTTGAAGATAATGAACTATACCCTTCACTATTTATTGTATATCTTTCTGTTAAAATGAATCTGTCAAGACAAGTCCTCTCAAGTCGCACTTAAACTAACAGTCGGTACGTTGTGTGGATAAGAAATGCAAATTAAAAATAATCGAAAAATCTCAATGGAGAAAAAAAAAAAAGCACCCACACTTAAATGCTGCTGGAAACACACAGATAGGAACCATAAAATTCCATCGACTCTTGTTAGAATATAGTTTAAAAACTGACAATCTAATGTATGAGATTGCAGTTGCCTGGTTCTGCAATAGCACAATTACACTCAGAATGTAATTCTGGGGATGGGTCACCATGTGATGTACTTGGATCAAATGTGTTCACCGTAATTTAATATAATCCACAAACTGCTGAATGCATGTTCATAACAGAAACATCACTTAATCAATTCTTTGGGGGTGGTAGTTTCCATTTCCTGGCTGAACACTGCACAAAGCAGATCAATTCATTGTCCTTCCATGCACACGTTTATTGAGCCGGTGGCAAGGATAGCCAATATACCTAATAGTCGGTAAACCATTTCATCGAGTGCTTTATTTATGAGGTCATCTCTGCCCACATCTGAGTGTTTTAATTTTATTAAAGAGTTGCTGGTCTTTCATGGATGACTGAAAAAATCCACACACACTTCAGGTGGTGGAGATAAACAGTTGCAGCAAATAGACTCTTCAGAGACAAAAAGATCCTGTTTTAAGTCAAATGAGCTCTAGACTAGAAAGAAGAAAATAACAAAAACTGAGACAAGACATGATTAATCAAAAAGAGTTTAAATCATTTATAACCGCTTCTATGAAGCATCAAGTACCTTTATTGAAGGGAAACAAGCCTCTAAAACTCCCTCGGTAAAACAAAACCTCAGCCTTATATCCAGCTAATTTTACTGAATTGCTAAACTGAGCCTAAAAGACCGAACAAGATTGGCTTGGTATAAATTTGCTTATTTCTGACTGTTGATTGATTTGGCTCGCATATTGGCTCATCACTATACAAACATCAAGGAATTTATCCTCTCACTATTCCTGTGAGGCAGGGAAGTATTATTATCCCGTCTTACAGATGGAGAAATATTTAAGTGACTTGCCCCAGGCCATATACACGTCTGTGAGAAAGTCAGGAATTGAACGCAAATGTCCCGTGTGCTGAACCACAAGGCCATCTTTTCTTTCTGGAATAGCTTGTATATATCTACTGGTTACCTTGGAACAAAAAGCATCAACAGTAGTTAAGAATCATAGTTTATTTAAACAAGGACAATCTTGTTTTATTCTTTGTCACGTTGGCTCCCTCCTCACACTTTCTGCTTTCCCAAAGATACTGTAACTCTAGAAGGCGATAGGAAAGGGAATGAAGCAGCTTTATTTAGATTTATCCCATATTCATGATTTTCCATTTTCACTGAATGCTGTCTTTACGTAGGGGTTTATTCTAATCTCACTTAAAAAGGAGTAAATCATGAATAACTCCCCTGCAGTCAAAGGAGTTATAATGGTGTAAAACTAGTATGGGATCTGAACTGAACTTGCATTTTGAAAATGTCATAAACAATCGGTGGTTCATGACATATTCAAGTGATATTGCATTTAAAATTAAAATCTAACTTGGGGATTTAAATGCTCATTTTCACAGCATTTGCTGTTGAGTCATTCTGATTTAATTTGAATAGTTTTAGCTGTCACAGAGCGGCTGCAGCAGACAAGGTAGATAATGATGCTGTTTATTGGGCCGAGAATAATTCAGAATACACAATGTTTGGGCTAAAAAGGTCTTTTGTCTGCTTGATGCCCCATTAAGGCATTATGCTTTTAGGAGAACCAAGGCTGGCTTTGAGTCATAATCTGAACTTCCACAAAGCTATAAAAAAGGCTCAGACTGTGAGTACCATAGCAAAACTCTGCCTGAATTTTAATTACATGTACGGCACAGATATTTGATTTAAATTAAGCTCTCTCGACCTTCTGATACTTTTTAACTTCCTTGGCTGCTGTGGATTAGAACATCAGGTTGGCACTAAAACTTCAGTCATACTGCAACGAGTATCCAGATCTCAGTTACCGTGAATAGAGAGTCCATCACAAAAGTTATGAAGATCCTTGGGTTTAACATAAAATCTGGCCTTAATAAAATCTAATATCCTTGTACTCGTTTCTTCCTAGCTCTTACCATCTTTCTTTCTGCATTATCTTTTTTTATTTATTTGTGTAAGTAATGTTTGTAAAGCAGTTTGAAGATGAAAAGCACTGCAGGACCAAATCTGGAAGGTGCTGAGCCCCCCTGTGGTAGGTTCTGGACAACCTCAACTCACAGGATAAATAATAATACTGAGAGTGCTTTTCATCAGTAGATCTCAGAGCGCTTTGATCCAGTATCCATGTAAAATGCAGAGGTTCTCAGGACAAATTTTTTGGTAGCCTCAGAGTGCGGCCACCAACTCTTGCTAGTGGCCGCTCTTGCACAGTTTCCTAAAATACTTAATTAGCTTTAGGAAAAACAAAATAAATATGTGCATATACATGTCCAAATGATTGTAATGTATTTGTTGCTAGCTAGTAAGTCTGTTGTGAAAAGCAGTATTAACAAACATACAAGTATCACTTTTCCCAGCAGACTTACTCAGCCCTGGATGGGGAGGTCAGGGGAGGCAGTTGGGGGGCTGGAGCTGGAAACCCCACAGCTGGAGCTTGGGCCCTGCCGCTGCACAGGCTGGAGCCCGAAGCCCCCGGCCAGCATCTGCTGCTCTGCCACCCCAGTGCTGAAGGCTAAAGCCTGAGCCCCATTGCCCCTGGGAAGGTGGGATTTCACTGGCTGACTTCTCCTCCAGGTGTCTCCAGAGGGGGGCAGCGCCCAACCCCTGCTGGCAGCCCCAGCAATCAACACCAAGGCAGTGCATCCGGGACTGCTCTATGAGCCCCTGCCCCGCCCCGCATCACAGCCCAGGAGGCTGTGGCCACAAGAAAAGCCCCTTGGTGGCCACATGCAAGAAACACTGACATAGAGAGATGAAGTGACTTGCCTGAGGCCATCTAGCAGGCTAGTGGCAGGGCCAGGAATAGAACCTGGGTCTCCTAAACCCCACCGTAATGCTTTAGCCCCCAGGCCACACTACTCTGCAGCTCTATGGTTTGGGTCATCTGTAAATGCTAATCGGTAATAGCTTTATTTTGTAACAGATTTTCTCCATCCTTCCAGTATTTAAAGCTACCCTTCGAAGAGCCACAT